TGACAGGAGCAAAACTCTGTCTAAAAAAAAAAAAAATCCTTCTACGGCTTCTCAACGCATGTGAAATATAGTCTAGACTTCTTGTGTGCAGGTTTCTTCTTCCTCTTGAACTGTTTCCTGTAACTGTCCCCTTGCTCCCTATAATCAGCTACTCTACTCTCTCTCTCTCTTTCTTTCTTTCTTTTTTTTTTTTTTTTTTCTTTTAGAAAGAGTCTCGATTTGTTGCCCAGGCTGGAGTGCAGCCTGGTGCGATCTTGGCTCACTTCAACCTCTGCCTCCTAGGTTCAAGCAATTCTCCTGTGTCAGCCTCCAGAGTAGCTGAGACTATAGGTGTGTACCACCATACCCAGCTAATTTTTGTATTTTTAGTAGATATGGGGGTCACCATATTGGCTGGTCTTGAACTCCTGACCTCAGCCTCCCAAAGTGCTGGAATTATAGGTGTGAGCCATCACGCTCAGCCTCTACTGTTAGTACATTTGTTTGTTTGAAGTTTTTCAGATTTACGAAGGCTTTTCTTAGCTTCGAAAATGCTTCTGCCTCACTTTGCCTCTCCCAAGTATCCTCTACCCTCTCCTATCTGTTGTCCTCTCTCAGTCTTTGTTTAGCTCTTTGTATTTTTAAATCTGCTATTATTTTATCTTGCTCTTTCTTAATATTATTTCCCCTTTCTAAAATGTAAACTCTGTGAAGACTGAGAGGCAGAGGCCATTTGTTTTGCATGCTCCACACTATTATTGGTACATAATTTTTTTTTCCTCTTTTTTTTTTTTTTTTGAGATGGTGTTTTGCTTGTCGCCCAGGCTGGAGTGCAATGGCACGATGTCTGCTCACTGCAACCTCTGCCTCCCGGGTTCAAGTGATTCTCTTGCCCCAGTCTCCCAAGTAGCTGGGATTACACGTGCGTACCACCACATCTGGCTAAATTTTTTTTGTATTTTTAGTAGAGATGGGGTTTTGCCATGTTGGCCAGGCTGGTCTCGAACTCCTGGCCTCAAGCGATCCGCCAACATTGGCCTCCCAAAGTGCTGGGATTATGAGTGTCAGGCACTGTGCCTGGCCAATACATAATTTCTTACATCATATTTGCTGAACATACATACACACATGCTATTAAATGAATGTAAATGTAAGCACAACTAAAATTATTACTACTGGGCAGAAGGAAGGACATCTATTTCAAGTAGACCAGAAGGAAGAAGAAAAGGCTAGATATGGCTCTATAGATGTTTGTAGCCTTGGCGCACAAAGTAACCTGAAGGCTTTTGTTCTCTCACTCAACTGGGAGAACAAGTTCCTTGCCTGGAATTAATGAGTTTGGTAATACAGTGTGGGTATGAAATTTGAAGACCTACTAAAAGAAATGGAGAAATTCCAAGAAGAAACCTAGAAAGACTGCTACATGGCCCTGGTGATGTTGGACACCTTGATTTTATAGTAACCTTAATCAGTAGAGTTGAGATTTTTTTCCAAGACTTCCCAGCAATGTGGGCATTGAAGAGAAATCAGTGGGCTCCACTGAATCAGGTTTTTTTTTTCTTTTTTTTTTTTTTTTGAGACTGGGTCTCACTCTATCACCCAGGCTGGAGTGTAGTAGTGCCATCTCAGCTCACTGCAACATCAGTCTCCTGGGTTCAAGTGATTCTCCTGCCTCAGCCTTCTGAGTAGCTGGGACTGCAGAACCACCCCACCACACCTGGCTAATTTTTGTATTTTTAGTAGAGACGGGTTACATCATGTTAGCCAAGATGGTCTGGAACTTCTGACTTCGATCCACCCACCTTGGCCTCCCACAGTGCTGTGATTACAGACGTGAGCCACTCTGCCCAGCCAAACCAGTATTTAAAGATTTAAAAAAATCTTTTTAAAAAGATTTTTTTAAATCTTTAAATACTGGTT